ATTTCTCGGTCTTTCGCGGAAAACGCGATGATCGCATCCTAATTGTGCGGAGTTATCGACTGAGAGATTAATTCTTCGGTTGTACCCCGTAGCTATTGAGCCATCCATATCCCGCCCGTTTCAACATAAGCAACTCGGCTTTCATCCTCGTTCGACTTTCAGCCGCAAGGCACTTCTTAAGCTATTTGGCCCAAATACTTTCTCGGAAAAAATGGCTGCGCGTCATGCAAGGAAGCTGAAGATTGATTACAGCGCCATGTCATCTGAATCATCATGTCGGGCGCATGACAAGGCCAACCTTTCAATCATTTTCGAACATCCTGTCTCCTTCACTTTTTTTTTTTTTACATTATTCCATAATGCCACACCAACCAACATATAGTAAGTTTTTAAAAAAAAATCCAATAAATAATATATTAAAAACAAACACCTACACTGTAAATAAAAATATATAAAATTTATACTTAAAATTGATGATGGAACATCGATCCGACAGACCAGTGAGAGAGTCGGGGAATCCGGGGAGAGATGACCCCTCGTGCGAGAGCCGGGAGCCGAGGCCCTCCATCTCCGAGAAGGAGGAGAAGGGCGGGAGCTCCTTGCTGGGGTCGGGCGGGCCCAGGTGGGTGGTGGAGGACGGGTCGGTGGAGTCGCCCGCTCCACCGCCCGGCTTCCCGTCGCTCATCCCCGCGCTCGGAGCGACTGAGCCTTCATCTGTCGATAAAGAAATCAATTTTGTGCTTTAATTAAAGGTGGACGGGGCAGAGATGCTTTTTATTTTCCTGCAGTTTCTGCCTGCCAAATTGTTCATGGACCTGGCAAAAATTGCGCTCGCTCTTCAAGTAATCAAGGAAACGCAAGTAATCAAGGAAACGGTCAAAACGAGGTAAATCTTTTCATATTTATTTCACATTTCAAATGAGTAAAAAAAAAATTGCCCACGGAAACACGCCATTAAGCTGCTTGGGTCGAAATCTTCATCCAACCGAGATGCTTCAGATTTTTTTTTTTACAACGGCTTTGGGCATTGAAAGGCTTCCTTTTGTCCGCAGATCAGCCCCCCTTGGCCCCAATTGCGAACGGCGACCTACCGGATTGCGACGGAATACGGGGCAGTTATATAATCTCGCAAGACACCTTTATCTCCGTTTTCGCGATGCAAGCACGCACTTGCCGCATTGAACCTCTTTCGTGCGGGTGCGCGATTTGCGTTTTTAGCAAATCGCGTTGGCGACTTCCTAATTATCGTCGGCGAGAATTGTAATGTTAGGATTGTAATTGCAGTGTTGAACCGGATCATGACTGTAGTAGGGAAAATCGGGGAAAGGGAGACAGGGTTTTACGGCCCCGAGGGAGCCGAGCCCCGACAATAAGCACCAGCTGGGTCTAGCTGTGTCTAGCGGGGGATGTCTAGCTGGATGGGTCTATAGGGGGGCTGTCTAGCGGGGAGGCACACTGCCCCTCTTTTTTTTTTTTCTTTGTCTCTCGTTTCGTAATCGAAACGCAGAAAAAGCCGGGGTGAGTGGAAAAAGGACTGGATGCGAGTGAAAAAAAATGAGAGTGCGGCGGGGGGGAGGGACTGGGATGTCGCAGCGCGTTCATGAATTTCCATCGATTTTTCTGAGTCGAGCAGAAAAAAGGGAGTTAACGTTAACGAGGCCTACCGTCGAGAAGATGTCAGCTTCTCATCATAGTCGATCTGGGTCCAACTCCTCGTTCACGCACTCGATCACACGAATAGGGCACGCATTCATTCAGAGGTAGAAAAACACACAATCGCACCCTGAGCACACACGGGATCGAACCGGCCGTTAGCAGCGTGACTCTCCGACTGAGCTCCCTACGCCAACTGCCTCTGCCGCCACTCGCCACTACGAAGAGGCCTGCTCGGGCCGGGAGTGTGTGGCGTCGGTGACGTCAAGGTCCGGAGAGGATGGAGGTCGGTGAAGGGACTGCGCGGGTCGGTGGATGTCAGGAGACGCGATGCGGCCCGAGGAGGACGGTGAGACGCAGTGACGGATTGGCTAGGCAGCCCGCCAGATGTCGGGAGACGTCACCTCGGCGTCCCTAATTTACACAGGGGGTGGAGGCGTTCTCTGTTGCTCTCTCTCTTTCTCTGGACAACACATGACACCCTTCTGCAAAGAGGGTGGGGTCAACGAACGACTCCATGCAAGCAATGGAATGAACCTATTCTATTTATTCGGGGGACAAACAGGGCATCCCTGGAACCGCGGGACAGCGGTAACATGGTGTTTATGTGACCGCGTGACAAGCGGGAACAAGGCGACTATGGAACCGCGGGACGAGCGGGAACAGAGTGTCTATGGGACCGCGGGAAAATCGGTCCCGCATGGGAAGCAGCTGCGTCGCGACCGAATGAGAAACTGCGTCCTTTCGGTCCGGACTTTCCCATTAGTTGCAAGCGTGACTCACGGGACAGGTCACGGTTGTCACTCCCAGGAGTTTTTAATGACTCACAGTGCCATCAATCCCGATGCTTCCAAGAACCGTTGGAAAATCGCGGGCGGGGCCGTGCGGTCGTCAATCTTCGGGGTCGATCCACCGTGTCGACCCTCCGTGTCGTCCTTCCGCATCGCTTTCCGTGTCGACCACAGCCAGAAACCGACGGAGCCAATTTGCGACGCCGCACTGGGATTTTCGTCACTTGTTTACAGGCGCGCCTGTGATTCGGATGATTCACGGAGTTTCCCGAAACGGAGAATCGAGACGACACGGAATGGCGCACTTCCGGCGCCTGCGCCTACGACCGCCTCCGTCGACAACATGTTGTCCCAAACATCGCACTCAGGACTCCCGCCAGATGTCAGTGGCGGCAGCAGCAGGCCGACATTCGCTTCCCCCTTCGAAAACCTCCCTTTCTCAACAACAACAAAAACGAGGAAATTATTTTCCGGGAAACCGCGCGACCTCGTTCCGAAAACTGCGGATTCACACGTCGACACCATGACTTGCTCGTCGAAATTCTTCGCGGAGGGAAAACTCGTCACCGTTCCTCGTCACCGTTCCTCGTCACCGGTGAGGACGTGGCAACCCAAGCAGCATGTTCGTATAAACGAGATGTCAATTCTCGGCAATGTTCATTTCATGCGATTCTCGTGCAAATGATATGAAACTGATGTTCCTCAATTGACGTCACCAAAGTGGATGCGCATTTCACATTAACTCGACACGACTTCACCTGACATGGGGTGACATGCACCTGACGTGGGGTGACATGCACCAGATCCGTTTAACATTTATACGATCTGACGCATGTCACCCATAAAAAAATGCACGTTTCCAAGTTTCCACAAAAAATCATCACGCCATCCGCATGAAATATCAGGAAAGTTCCAAGAAACCGCCCAAGCAGCATGTTTATGTAAATATTTAGTAAAATTAATATAATTTTTTTTGTCCATTTTATACCTTTTTGTTTTTTTTTACACAAACCATCAAGAAACCTCGAACTGTCAACATGTTTGTAGAAATATCACCTCTGTGATATGCAAACGGTGATATAAAATTTACGTAATTTTTACGTAAAATTTGACATTCCCGTTTGCATCCCAAACAGCATCTTTACATTAATATTATTTAAAATCGATGTTAATTTTCCCTCAACACTCATGCGAATTTTTCACGAGCCAATTGCAACTTTTACAGGGAATAAACATCACTATACTTCTCCCCTTCCTTTCCACACCTTGGAGCGTTTAGGGCACTCGGACGAGTACACAAGTACTCGTCCTCGCTGGTACCCAACAGTACCATGATAACCACCTGCCCCCTCCTTCCGCACCCTACACAGTACCCTAGCAGTAGAAATCATTTAGAGGGACCCACTTTCAAAGAGAAAAGAGAAATTGGGCATTCTACTCTTCGCTATTCCCGAGCACTGCTGTAATCCCAAACTTGACTTCAACATTTAATGATTCCCTGAGTCATATATTGTAATTAAAAAATATAATAATTCCATGCTTTCCAAACATATATATTTATGAATTTCAAAATAAAAGCGGAAGGATGGTAGGAAAGCCTGATACTATATCAGGAAAGCAGGTACTTAATTGGATTTGTAGGGTGTTGGGAACATGGGTTCCATCTAGTGAGGACTCTTGGTACTGCAACAGCGGGAGAGTCAGCCGAAGTTTCATATTGATGGTGTGGTATTGTTTAGCATAAACTTGATATCATGTACTTCATGTCGGATGAAGTCATGTCTAGTTTATGTAAATACACATACACTTTGGTAACTTAATTATTAGAACGTAAATTTCATGCGAACGTGATGTCATTTTCGTGACAATCGCAATAATTTACATTGTTTGCAAAAAATTGATATATTGTTTACGTGAACATGCTGTTTAGGCGAATTCGTTCTCCGCAAGGAACGTGTCGAACATCACCTCGTCGAACCTCACAAAAGCCACAGTCGGCCCAGGCCTCAGCGTCGGATCTCTTCCGAACGCGGGAAAACGTGGCGAGGAGTGGAGTACGCTGGCCTGCTACCTGGTGGAGGTGGAGGACCAGCAGCGGTCTTCCCGTGGGCTCTCCCGCAGTTGCGGTACCGAGAGTCCTCGCTAGATGGAACCCGCGTTCCCTGGACCCTACAAATGCAATTAAATTCCTGTCTTTCTGGTTTAGTAGATGGTTTTCCTCCCTTCTTTCCTCTTGTCATTGCGCAATTCATAAAAAGGCATGAGGAAAGCACGGAATTATCATATATTTATCGCAACATATGGCTTTGGGAATTATTAAACGCCGAAGTTAAGCACGGGAACACAGGACAGGATCAGCCAAGCACCAGGTCATCTCGTTACTCTCGTGTCCTTTTCTGAATGCACCACAGCGCAGTAGACCTGCAGGCTTCATGGCGGTTTCATGAAGATTCGCATTGTGTGTTGATAACAAGGGCAGAAAAATTAACATCAATGTTACGTCATGCCAATGTAAACATGCTATTCGAGAGTCAACTTTATATCACCGTTTGCATATCACTGAAGTGCCATTTCTGCAAACATGTTGACAATATGTCGTTGAAGGTTCGCGTAAAATCGACATAAAATGGGCAACAAATTCGCCTTAATTTTATATTATATAAACATAAACATGCTGCTTGGGAAATTGCCATTCTAATCTAGCAACACATCTTGTTATTACAGAGTCATCGCAGCAACGTGGAAAACGTCCACGTATCGTGTCGATGCATCATTTCGAAGCATCCATGCATCAAATTCTCTGCATCAGGCTTCACTTGAGACGAAAGTGGGATGCTGTTATTTCTTACAACCCGTAATTATTTACTAATAGTAATTAACAGTAGCGGTACTAATAATATAATTAATATAATTAGTATAATTAATAAAAGACTTTTAATTGTGCAAAATGGCCCTGGCCGAATTTTCATCAAGGTCATGTCCTTTACTCGCGTCCTTCAAGTACTTCCGGGGACTTCCCGCCTGGGTCTCGAGTACTCTCACGTACTTACCCAGTACCGAAAGCATCAGTACGTCCTTTGTCGGTCGCTCCATCCGCTTCGATTTGGCATCGAGAGCCTGTAAAAGAAAAAAAAAAAAGAAAAGAAGTTGGCACTGCACTCCCGATCCGCAAAAATCAGTGACGGTCGACGTGCACCGAGAATTTCTTCCAGTCGTTAATCTCTATATATATAAAGAAGAAAGTCAGTCAGTCTGTCTGTCTGTCAGTCAGTCAGTCTGTCTGTCTGTCTGTCTTTCCGGGATACTGTAGTGTCTGGGATGGCATGGAGGACAGACTCCTGGACTCGGTGGTGCAGTGGTGGCACAGCCGACCGGCGATCATGGAGGCGCGGGTTCGATTCCCGGCCGTCCCCTGCCTCTTTTTCGTCCTCTCATGCCATCCAACTCTCTCCTCCCGGCCGTCTGCTTTACAGTAACCCGGGGAAATCCCGATGGCTACGGTAGGTAGTAA